CCTGAGCCCGCGGGTTCGAGACCTGCCTGGGCAACTTGGCGAGACCTCATCTCTACAATAAAATAAAAAATGAGCCGAACGTGGTAGCGCACCCCTGTAGTTCCAGCTGCTTGGAAGGCTGAGGCAGAAGGATCACTGGAGCCCAGCAGGTTGAGGCTGCAGTGGCCGGGAGCGGCCACTGCACTCCAGTCTGGGTGACAGAGTGAGACTCCAACTCAAAAAAAAAACAAAAAACTTTTTGTAGAGACAGTGTCTCTACAATTCACAATGGCTGAATTATCACTGTGTTGCCCAGGCTGTCTCGAACTCCTGGGCTCAAGCAGTCCTTCCTCTTCAGTTTCCCAAAGTGCTGGGTTTACAGGCATGAGCCACCATGCCGAGCCAGGGTATTAGTTATTGTATTTTTGAAGTTTTCCTTTGTTCCTTGCAGTGTCTCAGTTTCTTCTAGAATCCTTTTCCCATCTGTTTTGGTCTCTGACTTTCATGTTAGAGGCTTTTATTCTGTGTCTGGTGAATACCTAAGAATAAATCATTGCAAGCTCTGTGTGCATGCCTGGGCCTTGTAAGCTGATAGACTTCACTATAAGGAGATTTGATGGGAACCTGGTGGTCTCTTTGGGGGGACTCACCAAACATTGGAAAGCCTTCCCTTTAGGTGAAGGAATTTGGTGTAAGCATTCTCACACGGGTTTTCATTCCTTCCCCCTGAGTTCACTCTTGCCTTCTGCAGTGCCGTATCACCAGTTCCTAAACCTTTCCGGGGTTCTGCTGTGTGAATTCATTTTCTTCCTATCCATGGGAGTCCTCCCTGTCAGCACTTGGTATTCAGCCCACTTAAACTCTTAATTCTTCATCTGCTTTCTATCTATCTTCCAAAATTTTGTGGTTGCCTTTGATCAGTGTTGTCTATTTTCCAGTTCTCTTTGCCCTTGGGAATATTTTCTTTCCTCTTCATTCCTTTCTTTCTTTTTTTGTTTTTGGGTTGGAGTCTCACTCTGTCGCCCAAGCTGGAGTCCAGTGGCATGCTTATGGCCACCACAACCTCGACCTGCTGGGCTCAGGTGATCCTTCTGCTTCAGCCTTCCAAGCAGCTGAAACCACAGGTGTTGCCACGATACCTGGCTAATTTTTTTATTTATTGTAGAGACGAAGTCTCGCCAAGTTGCCCAGGCTGGTCTGAAACCTCTAGGCTCTCGCCTCAGCCTCCCAAAGTACTGGGATTACAGGCGTGAGCCACTGAGCCTGGCCCATTCTTTCTTAACTTATTTTCTCTCATTTAGTCGTATTTCAGGTGGAAGCACAAATAAACGTGTTCAATTTGCTGTTTTTAATTGGAAGAACAACTCCAGAATCATCTTTTTTTTTTTTTGAGTTGGAGTCTCACTCAGTCGCCCAGACTGGAGTGCAGTGGCCGCTCCCGGCCACCACAGCCTCGATCTGCTGGGCTCTGGCGATCCTTCCGCCTCAGCCTTCTGAGTAGCCGGAATTACAGGCATGTGCTACCACCCCCGGTGATTTTTTGATTTATTGTAGCGATGAGGTCTCGCTGCCCAGGCGGGTCTCGAACCCACGGGCTCAGGCAATCCGCTCACCTCAGCCTCCCAAAGGTGCAGGATTACAGGCTGAGCCACTGAGCCCGGCTCAGAATCATCTTTATTAAACCAATAATCCTCATTCCTGTTCTCACTCCCTATATAGCAGAATTTTGTCACCTTCTGCCATGCCACCAGAGCTCCTTAACTATTTTAGTTGCTTATATCTGAATGCCTTCCAGCTTCAGAACACTTTCTTTGCGGTTCTATGTGTGAGAGAATTATGGTTTTGTACAAAAGAATATATTTTCCTTTTTGATATAATACCCACTGATAAGTATCTTGGCAATTTCACTGAACTAGATATCTAGTCCTGTAAGCCTGTCTATAAAGTTCACTAACTTTCTCCTACCCTGTCCTTCTCCCCCATCATTCTTTGTCCTCACAGGCAGAGGAGATGATGAGGAAGAAATCTTGGGCCACTGTGGAAGTGAGCAACAAGAAATGCCAGCAAGCCCTGGCAGAACTGGAGAGTGTCCTCAGCCACCTAGAGAGCCTCTTTGCACGGACACTAGTACCACGAGTGCTGATCCTCCTCGGGGGTAATGCATTAAGCCCTAAGGAGTTCTATGAACTCGACTTGTCCCGGCTGGCCCCTGACAGTGTAGACCACAGCCTGAGCACAGCAGCTTGTTTGCGCCGTCTCTTCCGAGCCATTTTCATGGCTGATGCCTTTAGCGAACTGCAGGCTCCTCCACTCATGGGCACCATCGTCATGGCACAGGGGCACCGTGACTGTGGAGAAGATTGGTTTCGACCCAAGCTCAACTATCGAGTGCCCAGCCGGGGCCACAAACTGACTGTGACCCTGTCCTGTGGCAGACCTTGCATCCGAACCTCTGCTTGGGAGGATTACATTTGGTTCCAAGCACCAGTAACACTTAAAGGCTTCCATGAGTGAATGAGGGTGCTTCTTAATCCTGAAAACACAATGGCTGAATTATCTTTTTCCCTGTGGCTCTAAGTCACCCATCTCTTGCTTGGAGTTAGAGTTGCTTCCTGGTGAGAGAGGAAGGTTCTTTCCTGGCTATCTGCCTCCCTGCCTCAGATTTCCTGGTGGGTGGGTGATATGTGACTGTGACCTTGCTAATCACTGCTGAAAAGTATCTTTTGGAATCAAAGATTGATTTTCCCAGAGGGGCTGGGTGAGGTGTTTGTGTTAGGGGTGGAAAAGCAAAGATGGGTCCATAGACAGAAACTCCTATGGAGGTGGCCTTTTTCTGCTTTTTGCTCTGTCCTTTCAGAATTTTACCACGCTCATCATATGGCTGTGTCTCATGAACTTAAATATAAAATAAATGTATTTATATTAAATTTGAATTGAAACTCTTAAGATACTTCTGGTATGAGGCCGGAGTGTTTTATCTTTCTCTTTGGTCTCTTCTGCTTCAGGGCTTGTAGGGTTTTTTTCTTCTCATTAGCCCCAGGCCTGGAACAAGAGTCCCCAGCCAGCTTCTAGCCCAGCATTCTTTCCTCACCGCATTCCTCCTCCAAAAGCATTCCTCCTCCAAAAGCGGAGGTCACCTTTGATGTGGGTAAAGTTCTAGTAGAGAACTTAGCTCGGTGACAGCCCAGTGATACAGGGATTCAGAGCCCTGTGTGTGGTATGTGGTCAACTCTGAGCAGTATGTTGGAAGAATGGTGAGAGGGGAAGAGCTCCTTGCAAGACCTTACCCTCAAAGAGTAGGACCTACAGCCCTGTTCAGCCAATAGGCACCAGTAGCTTTGAGTGTTACAGTTGTTGCTAGTGTGCAGTCAGGACAGAAGGAAGCTGCAGTATGTCAGTCTGGGGTAGCTGTTGATAAAACACACGCCACATGCCAGGCTGGGGAGCTGAGGCTGGAGTGAGGCCCTGCAGCCCCTGCCAACTTTTCTGGGGTCTAAGGTGGTCCTGATAAACCTGGCCCACTCCACCCTTCAGATCTGAGAAGCAAACGGCTAAGAAAAAACAGAGGGTCTTTGCCAAGCCTGATTGAACTATAGGCTGAGGCCCCCAGAATTGCCCAGAAATTTGGTGGTATTCACTCTCTGAGGCCACGTGTTTCTTCTAGAGTTCTGCCCAGCCAGTTTTCATTGCAGCTATTTGATAGCTGCTGGCAGTTACTGATGGCAATATTGCCTTAGGCAAAACCCTGCCCTCCTACCAGTGGCTACTTCCTCCTTCCACCTTAGCTACTTCTGACTTGGCCTTCCTCATCCTTGTTATCCTTTCTGACTTGACACTGTCCTGACCACCAAGCATGGGTATTCTTTGTCCCTGGGGAATGGGACCATCTGCTCATTTTTTGGAGGCAAGTTGACAAATCCTCACCTTACTGGTGTTGAAGATACAGTGTATGTGTGCGTGTACCCTCAAATGGGGACAAGAATACATACATTGTAAAGTAGTTAGATTAGTTAATATCTGTAAAGTGCTTGAAACATAGTACACAATGTGTTTTTTTAAAGTATGTGTTAATACATGTTTAGAAGTATATAATATGTGTTTTAAGTATGTGATGTATGTATTATTGCAGTGTTTGTATTATTGTCCCCATTTTATAGATGAAGCTTAGGGAGACTGAGTAATTTACCCAAGTAGTGAACCTGGATTCGAACCCAGTCCACCTGGCTCCAGAGGCTGAGTGCTCTACAATGCTGCACATCTTGTGTGGTTTTACTCAAATACTTAGCCGGAATTTGCCCTGCCAAAGGTGTTAGCATTAGGAAGCTACAGGGTTCCCCTGTCTGGCTTCAGATTCTAGTTCCTGACATGGAGTCTGCCATGAATAGGTGCTAACTAAATATGGAAGCAGTGAAAACAAAATGTTTAGGCTCTTTTCTATGCTGTGACTACTTAAAGCTTATTCAGTCAGCCAGAATCTTGACTGTTTTTCTGTCTATTACTGTTACCTAAAGAGAGTGGGAGGGTTGAGAACAAGGGCATTATAAATTGTCTTGAGGTGACACATTAAGCTAAGTCAGCTCCCTCAAATACTAACCTTATTTTTGAGTTGGGGGTCTCACTCTGGCCCAGGCTGTAATAATCATGGCTCACTGCAGCCTGAACCTCCTGGGTTCAGGCGATTCTTCTGCCTCCGCCGCCTGAGTAGCTGAAGTTACAGGCACATACCACCATTCCTAGTTAATCTTTTTTTTTTGGTAAAGATTGGGTGTTGCTATGTTACCCAGACTAGTCTCAAATTCTGAGCTCAGTCTTCTCACCTTGGCCTCCCAAGGTGCTGAGATTACAGATGTGAGTCACTGTGCCCAGTCTCAAACAGTGATTTTAAAGGCTTTCATAAACAATGCTTAGACAAAACAAAGTAATTATCTGGGTAACTTAGATATTTATTTCTCTATCTGCTTGGCATTGGGGCCCAGGTCATTCTGATTCCGTGAGTCCTCTTCAAAGGAATCCAACAATGAAAAGATCAATTAGTAACATAAATTAATAACATTCCTTCCTTGGCAACAAGCTTGAAGAACCTGTTCATGTTTGTCCATGGTTGGGGACTCCAGAGGGGAATGTGGAGAGTGGTCTAGCTCAGGGAGTGAAGAGCTCCAGCTGCAGTGGGTTCTGGCCTTTCATCTGTTGCTACCATTGGTTATAAAAGCAACAGTTGTGAGTGGACCTTGGTAGGAAAGTATAATCTGTAAATGTTGCCCTTTTTGTATCCCTCACCACTCCCTGCTTTCCCAAGGTGTTGCCCTGTACCTAGACTCATTCCTAGATGGTCACTTGTCAATTATTTTGTATATTTTTGAGTAGAGTCTCACTCTGTTGCCCAGACTGGAGTGCAGTGACACACTCAGTCACTGTAGCCTCGACCTGCTGGGTTCAGGCCATCTTTCCGTCTCAGCCTTCCAAGTAGCTGGACGCGCCACCACGCTCAACTAATTTTTTGATTTATTGTAGAGATGAGGTCTTGCCAAGTTGCCCGGGCTGGTCTCCAACCCATGAACTCAGGCAATCCTCTCACCTCGGCCTCCCAAAGTGCTGGGATTATAGGCGTGAGCCACCACACCCAGCACTTGTCACTTAGGTAGACTAGCTCTGTGGAGAGGTAGGTGAAAAAGAGATATCTGGTGAAGACTGAAGAGCATAAAATGGATAGACTTCATTCTATGAGACCTGGGGTGGGTTGTGGGGGGTTGCCCCAGTCTGAGGCTTTCAGAGCCAGGAGCAATCTCCAATTCTTCACAGATAAATTTGAGGCCAAATTTGTTTGTTTGTTTATTATTTCACATGACGGGTGAAATAATACAGTTAGTGTCAGTTTTGGGGCTTTGTACTGTTTTTCTTCCCAAGTCCCCGCTGAGTACACAGGGAGGACTCACTAAACGTGGACTACCTGCATGGGCTCAGGGAAGGCCACGACATCCACGGAACTGGGCTGGGACCTCTGGCCCCACACTGTAGTGTGGAGAGGCCATGCCGGCGCCGTGACAACCGAAGACCTCCAGTCGCTCACGCCGGGGAGGAACTGGGAGGGGCCGGAGAGCGCCCGGGCTTGGGCGAGCGCGGAGGAGCGCTGGGCGGCAGGCGGTCGGCGGCCGGCGGCGGTGCGCTTCCTGCCGGACGGAAGG